ATCTTTGATGAAACTCAAGAAAACTGACTTTCTATGTTTCAGTCAACAGTGATATCTTGCAATATTATATGTAAAATTGATCTGTGTCAATAAAAACTTCGCGCTCATGATTACCATATGAAATAAACTTTCTCTGATACATAAAGAAGTTCTACGAATTTACTCTTACATCAGACTTTTGTAACGTCCTGTAGAATTCTTTTCCTCTTCATGTTGAGTCGAATACAAGTTAAAATATAGATTTAATGGTGTTTATTATGAATATCATCTTAGTTTTTGTGTAAATGATTTCGACAAATGAACAAAGAAAATTTTTCAGAAATTAAGCTCTTAGTGAATAAGCACGTTATTCTTTGTGTTTGATCAACTATCGATCTTATATAATGTTCTAGATAGTTGAAAAAAAATTCAAATTGGTATTTAAATATTCTTAATCTAATGATGTAGCAATCAAGACCTCTCTATATATGAAACAACTCATAGAACTGAACTACAGACGAAAATCTTAGCCAATGGATTTCTGTGGTTTCTTTGGAAGTTTCATTACTTCGCCTTTTCACCTGGTTATCCTCTAACAGTGATACTAGCAGATCCAGGTTTTCATTCTGTATTCAAATATGTTCTTTAAGAAGAAGAAAAATGTATTCTTTGGTGGTAAAATTATCATTACGTAATGAGAAGTCATATTTCTTCAAATTATCTTTTTACATTTTTCGTATGCTCTCCATCTTCCTACATGTTAACTGACACATATAGTATTTCATTAGATAGAGAACACTTGATTACCAAAATAAAATATTTTGTGAAAAACCTAGAACATTGTATTGAAGTAAAAATGACTTGAATAAACAAACAGTGAAGTTCGTTTGTTTTTCGTTTACAGCTCAAATATCACATATTTCGTTTTCTTATTTTCTAAAATCGTCAACACAAACCCTTAGATGACATTGGTGATTAGAGCTCTGATACATATATTTTGACATGTGTTTGATCCAAACAAAAAGAAAAGGAATTTCAGATACATTGTTAAGAGGTTGCGGTGCAATAAGTCTTAATGTCGAACTAAAATCAATACATATGCCCGTGATTGTAATCCATGGTTGACTTATTATCTTGATGAGTTTGTTTTAGAAAAAATTTTGAAAAGAAAATTGTTCTTATCGATTCTTGTTCTTTCTACAAATCATTTAAAACTCTGTTTTTGTTTCGACTTAAAACTGAAACAAATGATTATGTTATTTCTATAATTTGTTCGTTTGAAAATGAAAACTTTTAGTGGATTTTTTTTTCTAAAGTAAAGATCCCCTTTCATTCATGTTTTACTTCCGTGTCAATAACGTTGAATTTCGTAATAAAAAAAAAACTATTAGAATAAAAAGAAAGCAATGTTACGATCTGCATTTCTAATGAATTCATAAGAGTTTTCCTCATTATCTATATGATTATCAGCATGCACTTAAGCTTGTCTTCTTTTCTTTTGTTGTTAGGCATGTCTCATGAATTCTCGTTTCCTGTCATGTATGTGTGATGAAGTTCTCATGTTATTATTCATTATCGATAAGACTTCTTTTCCTTCTTCATAATCTATGGATTTTTTCATAGTTTGGATTTTCTTTCCTACTATATTGCCCTATATGTGAGTTGTTGCAGTGTTGCAAAGAGAGAGTTTTATATATAGAAATAAATTATAGGTGGGATTCGGATTTGACAAATTAATCATTCAATTAGAAAACATTTCAATCGTGAAATAAAATATGATTTTACGGAAAAATCTTTTGGAATCGGCTCTAATATACATGGCTTATTTTTTGATGACTAGAGTTGCATGTGTCTTGCATAAAAGAAAGTTTCTACTAAGAAATATACATGAATTTATCTTCAAGGAAATATGATCTGAATGAAGCTAATTAGAAAGATAACATCGGCAATCATTCATTTAATGAAAAAATATAAATGAAGAATCTGTCTTTCTTTAACTAGAATCTTACTGCTCAAAGAATAAATTCTTTATCTTATATATATATTCAGATATCAATCAGAAGCGTGTTCAGCGTAAATAAGCGAAAAAAGAGTTTCCTCTCAAATCATCATGAGATGACGGTTCTTCGCTAATGCAGGATAACGATTGTCAAAGGAAAAAAGGAATAATGCTAATTATAGCATTACTTTTTCTATATATTTAACACATAAAACTAATTAAAAAATAATTCACTATTTTCTAGAGGACTTCACTCTAAAAGTAAATTCAGTATTGTGAGAAACCTTGAAACACGGTTTCTGGGCATTTTTATGTTGGAAAAGTTTTCGAGATCATCTCGAACGTGTGTCGGAATTTTTTAAAGTATCAACAGATTTCAAAAACTCTCTTAACTTTTCAAATAGTAACATTTTTGGCAACCATCAAGCTTTTCGATTTACAGAAGTAGTCTGCTTTTTCTTTTAAGAACCTCTTGAAGTTTTCGGAAAATGTTATTATTTAAAAAGCTATAAGAGTTAGTGAAGTTGTGAAAACCTATTTCCGACGTGGAAAAATACACTCTAATATTCTTTCAAATTTTTATCTGACAGAAAACTTTACATATGGTGCAACCTTGTAATAAAAGGTCAAAGAATAATAACACATCACACACGGCTCATGCAATGTCATCACAACCATTAATGCCTTGTAAAGATTGATCTATCTATATATATGAATTAAGTAAGTCAAATTTTTATAATAAAATACTTGGTTGATATTATTCTTTTAAGATAAATGATGCTACTTCGATAAACATTTGTTCATTGTCAAACATTTATCGTTTAAAATCAATGATGTAAACAAAAGTTTAATATATAGAAGGTTGTACTTATTATGTAACATGTCAAATATTGTCATTTGTCTATAACAAAATCTTCAATTCTTCTGTGACCATGAACATCAATATTTCTGAACTTTAAAATCAATTCAATAAAAATGTTCATCTCAGCAATGAATATGTTTATTTATAATATCAATAATGAATAATAATAAAAAAAAAAGAAAAGAAAAGAAAAAACAAAAAACTTGTATATGCGTGTGTTAGAGATATTTTCATGCATTCTTAAAAGTAATAAAGACAACGAAGAAAAAATCATTATATACACCAAATATAGTACATATATATGAATGACACTTTTCTATAACGATCTACTACATCTAACTTGATAGCCTCCCAACACGATACTATTAAATTCCCATCAATATATATGTCTCCCATGTAGATAAACTCGTTGATGTAAAACAATAAATAAACAAAACATCGAAAGAAAAACAATTAGTTGCTGTAATAACCAAAGAAGAAAAAGAAAGGAAGGAGAAACATGAGGAATGTTCATATAAATGTAAATATGTTTGGTGAGTTCATGACTCGATATATAGATATATATAAATATATATGTACAGAAATGTTGTAATTATTTTCAAATAAAAAAAAAAAAGAAAACTGTAGTTGACAAACATAAAAGCAAAAAGAGAAAACTTGTTTCTTTTTTTTTTTGTATATGTATGTATCAATTCAATAAATGTTTTTATGTACAAAGTAATATGTTTGTTAATTGTTTAGTCTAATGCATAAAAATAAGGCGTTTTCATACGTAGATAACGACGTAAACATAAATACATTCTTAAAAAGAAAAAAAAAATTGTTTTCTTTTTTTGATTCTTTTATAATTTCTAATTGAACTTACATTCCCATGCCAAGAATAAAACTAGCACAATTACTTAAAATAAGATAACGCATACGTTTTTTTTCAACTAATGCCTTTTCAGCTTCTTTAGCTGCTTTTTCTTCTTCATCTTCAAAAAGTAATTGATCACGTACACTTCGATTTATTGGATGAGCCAATTTCCATTCTCTTTAAACAAGAAAAAAAAAATTTTTTTTGTTTTTAAGAAATAAAACAAAAAAATGAAAAAACTTTAATTTTTTTTTCTTTACTTTGGTGGTTCAGCTTCAATACGTGATGACCAATATAACATCCAATCGGCAACATTTCGATCCGTTTGTACAGGACTTTTAGGACTTTTTGGTGATGAACTAAAATAAATTTTGTTTTTTGTTTAGAGAAGAGAAAAGATAAATATCAATAAATATTCTGTTACCTATCACTCTGTGAATGTTTGGATCCAACACGTGATGATTCTTTTTGTGCTTCTAATAATAAATTTTCATTAATATGCATACTTGCTGTAAGATCTCTATCAGCAAATGAACTTGTCATTGTTGATGGTGACATTATTTGTTTTTCTTCTGATTGAATATCAATCCATGAATCTACCAGAATATTAAAAAAGAAAAAAAGAACAAATATTTAATCAATTAAAAGACAAAAAACAATATTATCATTTTAGATTTTATTTTACCTGATGTGTAACTTTGAAATGACTTGTTCATGATTTCAATCTTTATTTGTTTTTTTTTTGTTAGTTTTTATTAAACGTAGTGAAATCTAGAAACAGAAAAATTTTCTATTCTGATTAATTACGTTTGTCATTTTCGCAAATCAACAATAACAACAAGAAGACTCTTATGCCTCCAATAGAAACGTCAAATAGAAAAAAAGTTCTTTCTGACTCATCAGTAATCGATAGACCATGTGATTCTGAAACATATATATATTGCTTTAATGCACGTGATTATCTGACCTATTGATATAAGTCAATCAAAAGGAGCAAACTTCAATGTTCAATAATAATTCATCACGCGCAATAACTATGAACTTTTATCTGAGTGCATGTAATTCTATAGTAGAACACATGATCAAAATAAACATGTGTGGACATAGAATGTAACGAAATTTTCTCGATCCTATGTAAATGCATTAATGTGTTGAACAAATATTTATTGACAATATATAGAGGACGTTGCTTAACATTAAGTTTTTAATATGGTTGATGTTCCTATCAACGAAATTCAATCAAAAAAAACATTGTATCTTTTTTTCTATATTCAATAAACAAAATATTTCACGAAAAAAAAAAAATGCGTTATAAAGAACATGGCATTGTTATTGAACCAAATGAAATCGAATTTCCACATGTAATACAAAATAATGCATATCGACAAACAATTCATGTTAAAAATGTGGGAAATAAAAGTAAACGTATACAAATATTTCGACCAGCTATTAAGGTTATTTTTGTTTTTTTGATATCATAAAAATTGTTTTCAATCTTTTCTTTTAATAGGATTTTCAATTAATTGTTAACAATCCAGATCAACCTGTTCCACCTGGTCTTGAAGTGACTGGTGTCGTTGAATATATAGCAAAATCTAATCAAGAACAACGGGATATTATTGTTATTGACATTGATGGACAAGAAATACAAATTCCTATCTTTGCTTTTCCAGCACGACCGGAAATTTCAGTTGATGGTATGAACATTAACTTCTTTCTAAAGATTTGATTACTAAATATATAAATATAATATTAATGTCTTTACTTATATTTATTCTAAGATAAAAATAAATATTATCTAAAAAAGAAAGTTTAAACATTTCTTATTTATTTAGATTCAATCGATTTTGGTATTCATGTTGCTGATAATAAAACTGTTTACAAAACGATTATTGTTCGAAATACTGGCAGTACACCTGCACCATATAAAATTGATTATAAAGGTGAACATCCAATTGGATTTTCACCACATTCAGCAATTGTTCAACCGAATTCTTCTATTCCGATCGAGGTAATATTAATGAAACAAAAATAATGAATATTAAAATATTTAAAAATAATTTCTTTTATTAAAGGTATCTTTATTAACATCAATGGTCACAGACGTGAATGATACTGCAACGTAGGTCAAACAATTATTTGAAAAAAAAAAGAAGTAATAATTGTTTTTCTTTTATTGATTTTATTAGATTAGATGCATGTCATAAAACACATGAAATCAAATTAATAGGAAAAATAATGAATCGTCGTTTATGTTTACTTCATCCAAAAAATAATGAAGAATTACAAAAACTTAATTTTGGTTCTTGTTATTATGGTTGTGATCTTACAGCATTAGCAATTCTATATAATGATTCACCTGAATCAGTAGCTTATTCAGCATTAATCGATGATTCAAAACCAACAGTAAGATTTAATAATTTTTCATTTCACAACAAATTTCATTTATATTTATTTGTAGGATTTAGATCAAGAAGAAATATCTGATACGGAATATACAATGAATCCATTAAATTCTATTATTACTGTATTTCCAAATCAAGGCATACTTAATCCATTTGAAAAACGTCCATTATTTTTTCGATTTAGTCCAAGGTACGAGTTTTAGACAAAATGTTTATTCACTCTTCATCCACTCGTTAGTATTTCTGACGAATCAAAAACCCTACATAGGTCTAGAATTTTGAATTCTTTTCGAATATAAGTTAATAAATTTTGTTCAAGAGCATTGAAATAATCTTTCCAAGGTCCTATGTCAGGTTGTACGTCAAAAGCTACCTTATGAAATACACTATTTGAAGTCTTTTTTTGTCTTTGAATAAGGTACGTCAATTTTCGTTTTTCCTAAATTTTCAGTTTTGAAAAATGGACAACCCTTATTATGTTGAAAGGAGCTCTTGAAGAAATGCTTGTAGTCTCATTACTACATATTGTTCTAATAAAAATCTTACCAGAATTTAGGTTCCTGTTAAGATTTGACTATGTTAAAATATGTCTATTTGAATGCGTCGAAAATATTTTCTGAATATTCAAAAATGAACAAACAGCTCATTTAAAAACTTTCTGATCATCTGTTACAAATACTTTTTTTGCCATTCTTTAATTATTTGATTTTTTTTATTATTCAATAGAACTTACTCACCAAAACAAGCGTTCGCTACTACACTTGATCTACCACCAAGACGTGATATAGCTGCTTTTATGTATTTTGAATTATTAGGTGCAAGTCCTGGTCTATCAAATATTGAACATAGTAAAACAAAACTTGAAATAGCAGTAGCTGGCACAGCTTTGCCAGTTATATTATCACTTGAACCACAAGCATTACAATATCCAGTAACATACATAGGACAAAAAAATGAACAATTTATTTATATTTATAATCAATCTGATCATAAATCGATTGATTTTCGTTTTCCATCAATCGCAAATTTTGCTATACAACCAGCAAGTGGAAAATTAAAACCAAGAGAAAAATTACAAATTCTCGTTACATTTATTCCACATCAGATAGGTTTGTTTAAATTGAGTTTTTCCTTTTTTCAATGTCAATTGTTTTTCTAAATTTCTAGGTAACATTAATAAAACACTTATATGTGAAGTACTTGGTGCAGTTGTAAATCCTAATGCACCAGTTTATGCACAATCAAAACCTATTCATCAAGCACAATGTGTATTAATGGGTTATTCAGCAGTTATTACTGAAATACCACCAGAAAAATTTAACATGGGTAAATATTTCGAATCATCATATTTTCTTTAGTATATGATTGTTGTTTTTTTTTTGTTTTCTATAGGTCTTAAACCAATCATTTCTAATGAAGTTGGTATTAATGTGAATACAACACAAGAATCATTAAAACGTTTTCATCCACGTGCAGCTGTTTTAAATAGTGCTAATGACACAATACATAATAAACGAGCATCAACTACATATTTAAATAATTTTAAAAAACATAAAGTATCATTTCCTAATGATCGTGCAAGAAGTATTGGTCCATTTAATCGAGAAGATAGTTTTATGTAGGGTTTTAAATAGAAAGAAATAATTCTTTTATTTTCTTTTGATGTTGTTGTTTTTTGTTTTTCTTTTAGAACACCTTTTACTAAAGAAGAACGATATAATTATATTGATCCAGATTATGCATATACAGATGAAGAAAGAAAACAAATTGAAATGCATGAAAATATGTATAATCAATTATTTGATGAACAAAGATTTCAACGATCAGAAGTTAAAAGAACAAAGTAATTTTAAAAACAGTTCATGAAGAATTTAAAATAATTTTCATTTTTTTTTTTAAACATTTAGAGAATTTAAAAAATATGATAATGAAACAGATCTTGGAATCAAGCCAGGCAATGGACTTGAATCACCTCATATTGCTTTAGCTGACGTAGAAAAAAATGTCAATAAAGCTATAAGTAAGTGAACATTCTATGTAATTTGTACAAATATCAATATGTAAAAACAAATAATTTGAAAGGAAAATTTATTTTACGTTCGAATTCAGTATAAAACTATATACATTACAATAAAAACTCATTTGCTAATTCATTTTCTCATGATAGAGTAATTTTCTTTTTCTTTTTCTTTTTCTACTTTTCTGTTTTTAACAGTGACAGCATCAAAGCTTAGCATAATCTAAAAATGTCTCATACTATTAAAATGTAGGAATTTTCAGACGAGAGGCAAAGTCAAAGAAAAAAGAAAAAAATCTAAAGAAAATGAAATGCAGAAAGAAAAGAAAGAAATAACTTATAGATGTAGTGAAAATTTTTACATCTCTTCTTTTCTCAAATGAATGTCATATGTCTAAAAATAAATATTATTTATGAAATTATTATTATTTCTTTTCTTTATACTATATTTAAGTTCCATCTTATCCTAATTGGAAATATCGTCTACCAACAACATCTGAATTAGCTGAACAAGAACAAACATTATTAAATAAACCACTAAAAGAAGGTCTTAATTCAGTACCAACGACACAAAAAGAAAAAAATGATTGTGCTATACTATTATCACCAAGTCAATTATTTAAAATTGTTGTTGGTTTGTTTGTTTTTTTATTGTTGTTGTTTTTATTTCAACAGTAATAAATTTCTATCTTTTTATTCAGGACCACCAGAATTAAATTTTGGTGATGTTTGTGTTAATGCACCTGTAACAAAATTTTTATCTGTTCTTAACAATCTTGATCAATATATTCTTGTTCAAATAGATGTATGTAGTTTTCTTTTGCTTTTGAAAATGTTTTCTTTACGAAAAAAATCAAAAATTGAATATTTTATTTAGGTTGATTCGGCTGCTTTAAAAATGACATCACCATTATGTCAAGTTATACCAGGAAAATCTCATGTACAATTTCCAATAACATTTGAACCAACACAAATTGGCCTTTATCAACGTTCACTTTCATATATAATTAATAATTTTTATCGTCATTATGTTAAAATAATAGCTGATGTTCGTTTACCAACAGTACAATTATCAACAGAAAAACTTCTTATACGTTCATTACCACATCTTTTAGCTGAAGATTCATTTCGTAAAGTTGTTCATTTATATAATCCATTAAATGCACCAGCTGAATTTCGTTGGATACCTATTATTGGTCCAAAAGGAACAGCATTTTCGATTCGTCCAGCAACAGGTTATTATTATTTTTCTTTTAGTTTTATTTAATTAAAAATAAAAAAAATTTTAGGAATTATTGAACCATATCAAACAATTGACAGTGAAGTTGTTTGGTATGGTAGCACACAAGCACCATTAGAAAATTTTTTTACATTACATATTTTTTCAACGAGTGATTCACGAAAAATACCAGGAAATAATACTTCAACAATATCAAATAATGAAACAACTTTAACACTTCAATGTATTGCTCAAGTTGGTAAAGCAAAATTTAAAATTCCGGAAAAACGTGTTAATTTTGGTTTAATACCAATAAATATGATATCAAAAAAATCATTTACGATTGTAAATGAAGGAACAAATCATCTTTTTTATCAAGTATAATCATGTTATTTGTTTTATTTTATCAGACAAAAAAAAAACCATTCTTTTTTATTTTTCAAGATAACTGATCCAAACCCATGTTCTGGTGTTGTTATAAGTCCAGCAAATGGTCTTGTTTCAGCTGGTTCACAAACAAGTATAACAATAGAAGTGACACCAATCGAACTAATTAAATTCGATATTAAATTTGGCTTAAAAGTTCTTGGACAACATGAACAAGAAATTCGTATGACAGGTGAAGTTATTGAACCAGATTTAAATATACCTGAAAATGAATTTAATTTTGGTGGTGTACCAATATTAATGAAAGCAACAAAACAATTTCATATTGAAAATAAAGTAGGCAAAAAAACAAAGAAATTGTTTGTCTATTAAAGTTACTCCTTAGAGTCCATCAAGTTGGTCTTAGACACGATGAACTCTAGTCGTTTGAGAAATTTGTTGGATGCGCTAGACACTGATTACAAAAAATCAGATAAAGTATTTCGATTGTTTGGGGTGGCTATTCAATTTCGATTAGAATATTTTATTTAGTGTGTCAAAGTATACTTCGACTAGGTCTAGTTCCTACGACCTTTATCTTCCTTCCATTCTTCAGCTGTTACTAGAGAATGGCTCGTCAGAAAAACTAGGTGGATCTTTATGAGTAGAGCAAAATTTGTTCTAGACTCAAATTTTCCGGATGTTGTCTTTTATGAGATACCGGAATCACAATGGTTTCGATTCTTGCACTCTTTTTCTTCGATATGTTATATTTGATCGAGCTGAAATGTTTTTTATAGGCATTAGACATTGTTTGGAGTACTTATCCTTTTATTTTTTGCTCTTCGAATAAAAAAGCAAGAATATCGAAGATATTCTGAATGCAGTTTTTGTTTTTATGAAAAAGTTATTATGAGAAAAATGGAAAACAATGTACAGTTTTCATTCTTGTGATTTCTACTCGAATTTTTTAATATTTAAAGACAATTTTTGAATGAGTAGATAGATACTAATTTCGACTATACAATAACTACAAAAATGAAAAAAAAAATCTAGAGTAACTAACAGAAGATACTTTGAAGTTTGTTGCTAAAATAAGAAGTTATGATGTTTCTATGGAAAAAAAAGTTTTCTAATTAGAAAAGTTATTTAAATAGATGAGATCATCTCGAGTTGATTCATATGTGTGTATGACTTTTGTTATTTCAATGAAATTAATTAAGCACAGCAAACATATTTTATTTTTTATTCGTAAGACAGAAAAAGACCAAACATTATTTATGTTTTTATACGAAGACATTTATCTGTTCGAAAATGTCTTTTAACACAAATATTTGGTAAACAACAACGAACAAGACTAAATTTACAGCGAACACATTGACGTGGTTGTCGATTACGATGATGTTTATGACCAAAAATACTTCGTTCCGATATAATATGATTGTCATTGCTTAAATCGTGATCATTATTGTTTATGTCCAATTGTGTTAAATCCGATAGGACAATAGTTAAGAAAAGACCAAGAAAAAATACAATTGTTAATATGCGTGTTAGCTGCATGATGTAAAATGATAGAAATAATGTTAGGAAAAAAACTAGCGAGTATTTATCTATTGCCATCTTATGATTATCAAATAGTACTTAAAATAGAAAAGATTATTAAGTAAGGATAGATTAGATATTAATCTAAAGAGAATATGTGTAGAAAAAATGCATATTTGTCTTTAAAAATGTACGTGAGCTGAATCAGTAGATATTAAGAATAATCAAGTTTCTGTCAACTAGTTGAAATATTTTCTTATGTATATTAATCAACACTGGATATAATGATAAGATATCGTTATATTTCGATGGACATATACAAATGTATTTATAGTAAAAGTATTTACTATTATTGATGATGTCATGTTGAAGGCTAGAATTTCGCTGTATTAAGAAAACAACTCGATCAGTAAAATTTTTTTGTCCAACATTTTTCTTATTGTTAAGTGGATGTTTAGATTTAATTGAAAATTTCTAATGAAGCTTGAAAAAAAAAATTAATCGTAATGGTATTGATTTGCTACTTGTAGTTTCATTTTTTTTTCTCGCAATTTTGATATCAGTAATATGTGCGAAGGCGTATGCATTTGAGAATATTGTCAGCTGACTTGATTGTGATAGTATAGTATTCCTAATAAATACTGAAATTAAATTCAATAAGAAATCAGTCGTTTTTCAAATTCTACAAAAAACTACTTATTAGTTATTATCATGCATAATCAAATCATCGCCATTCTTGTTTCTCTTCTTCTCTGTGGTACTCTTTTGATTTCGGCGAATCCTGCTGCATCTGTTAAAGATCAACGTCGTGCTATATCACGTCCAAATATATTTCATTTATCCAATCCATTCTGTGTTCCAATGCTATGCTTCGTTCCATGTATGTGCGGTAGTCGACCTGACTTACGCGGATGTGATACTTGCAGTTGTCTTCCATGCGATGGTAGTTCATGGTCATTGTCTTAATCTTTTATTTTCATTAAATAAATGAAACATAAAGTTTAAAAGAAAATAAAGAAAAATTAATTCATTCATTTGTTTTATTGTAATTTCAATTAATAATATCTACAATACTAATTGAACTTAGACAAATATATAAATCGAAATAAGCCAAGATAAATTTTATTCTAATCTCTAGTTCATAAATCCTTCGCTAATATTCATTATTTTTTTTCTCAGCATAAGTATTATTCGAAATGTTTCATCAAAAACTTTCTGATATATCAATAAGTTGAGTGCACAAATAGTTTCATGATAAAATTTGTGTAATAATATTAGATATATGTGTATAATGTTTGTTATGTGATAAAAATAATTTGACTATAAATAGATTCAGTTTAAAGTTAATTACATTAATATTTTGCTTACGTACGTAATTGAAAAGTGTCCAACTTGAAACTTTGACATAGCTCAAAGATAGATGTAAATATTTAATAATAAAAATTATCTCTTTTCTGTTTTTCTTTCCAGGGCAGTGTCAAAGGTATTGTTGAAATAAATCTTTCAAAATATCCTGATTTTAGTATAAAAACAAATCCACCTATTGGTAAACATTAAATAGGTTTTTTTTTTTTATTGAAACCATTCTTCTATCCGAATTTCATCCGTAGGCAATGAACAATGTTGTACAAAAAATGGTCAAATTTATAGCATAACTGTCCAACCAAATGAATCTATTGAAGCTGAACTTATTCTTGTTCCAGCTGAAGTATGTTTGTTCTTTTTGCGCTTCGTTTCTTCTTCACATTTCATTATTACTTTACTATTCTTTAAGATTGCCTTCTATGATTTTCTTCTTCCAATTCGTACATGTCCTCCCTTACTCAATGTTGAAGGTTTATCACAAGCATCAAAACCTTCATCAGCTATACGTCATCATCGTGAATTAAGTGCAAGTGAACAAAAAGCTTTACAACCATCACATCCACCTATAAATCGTCGTATACGTGCAACAGCATTATCTGATTGTTTACAATTATCAACAAAAGAATTACATTTTCAAATGTATTCAACACAATATAATGCTATGAAACAAGGTGCTTATTGTGATTGTCAAGAAATAATATTAATAAATAATAGTAAAAAAAAAATTCATTGGCAACTTGATTTACGTGATAATGTAACATTAGATGATGATATATTTCGTGTATTACATTCTTCACTTGTACCATTTATAAGTCCATCAACAACTATTGGGCCAGAAGGTGAAATTGAATCGAAAGAAAATTTTTCATTTAAAATTAATTTTTCACCAAAAAGACCCGGAACATATAAAACACGTATACCATTTTATGTAAATCATAATCAACAAGTACCTTATACATGTATTGAATTAACGGGAGAATTAATCATGCCGAGTTTGATATTTGAACCGAGACGTTTAATTCTTCCGCCAGTACCACTCGATATTGAAAGTGTTGGAACAGTTCGTTTACGAACAAAGGGTTTTGAAAAGTAAGTTCAAAGAATAAAAAAAAATTGTTATTGATATTTTTTCTTCTAAATTAGAAATACAAAATTAATTATCTTATCACATGTCAAACCAATAGATGTATCATATGATTTTCATGCATCCTTTGTTGAACCAGCAATAGTTAATGTTGATAAACAACAAGATTTTACAATGAAAATATTTTTTAGTAGTAATCATTCATATTCTGAAAAACTTATTATTAAAATAATTGATGAAGAAAGAAACTCGTTAGTTTTTTTTTGTTGATTTGTTTGTTTTTATGAAATTAATTTTGTTGGCTTTTTTTTCAGTTTTGATTATGAAGTTTATGTTACAGCTGATAATTCAATATTTACATGTTATTCATTTTTATGGAAATCAGAAAATGATTATCAAATTGTTGTACAACCAGGTCAAATTATGAAGGGAAGTAGAATAAGATCCGATGAAAGTAATTCAAGTGGTATGAATCAATAACTTTGGTTTTTTTTGTATATCAATTCAATATTAACTTATTTTTAATTAATAGGTGAACCACTTTTAGTTCAAAAACGTACAGCAACAAGTTCAAATTCTCGACCGAATACAAGTACAAGTGCAACATTTGATCAGGTTGATCAAACATCGGATGAAACATCAACAGATGAAAATATATCTGCACACAATCGAAATGAACGTTCTCCGGTAATTAAACTTGAAAAAAACATTTTCTATCTAATGATTAAAACAGAATAAATAATCTGTTCCATATTTTTACAATATCTTAATATATTCTTGCCGTTTAGAAACAAAATCTTTTTTTGATCAAAAGATTTAGTATTTAATTCTCTTTCAAATTTTATATTTTATCAATGAAAGAAATCTTTTCTCATTTTCTGATACGCAATAAACAAGTACACTTGAATAAATACTACTTTCCTGATTAGCCTTTTTTTGAGAAAGCTTCAAATGGTGTTATTTTTGATGTTATAATCTGTTATTGGTAAATGTCAATTGAAATTAGAATAATCTAACATATTGAAGCATTGATTACTCAAAGACTAATGATCTCTATAGACGCAAAACCATACTTAACTCCTATATATGATTTGTTGTTGTTTATTTTATTGTTCAAATTCTCAGTTACTTGTATGAGTTATAATTCATTCAATATCCGTTAAATTAGAGTACTTGTTTTACCCTTATACACTATGGGGGATAAGAGGTGTAACTATTATAGAAGATTTAGAAAGAATAACACAAAATAACATGCCGTCATTTATATCGATAATGATGTTCGTGTAGCCAATTTTAGAAACTAATAAAGCATAATAGATGTAATAATAGATAAATAATAATACTAATTACCCGATAACATAGTCTATTTCAAGATTTTTTACACATGATTTAACAAGTAATGTATGAAAATTCTTGAACTAAGTTGCATTATTATGTATGATCATCTCCAGAATAATCAATCAACAGATTAGCTCGATGATGCATTTTCAATGAAGATTTACCTATAACAGATGAAAACAGATTATAGAATCAAATAATAACATCACTTGAATTTTTTCCTATAAAGCCTAAGCAGAATAATAGTCTATACTTGAGTACATTTTTACATTGCGTATCAAAAATTACGAGACATTCATTCGTTAATAAGAATACACAGTTTTAAAGAAAATTAAAAGCTGAATATTGTCATGAACAAAAATTTGTGAAATGGCAATAATTAGTTGAGATATCGAAAAAATATTGAAAGCATTATTTACTTCGTTGTGTCCGCTATTCGTGTTATATGATTATTATAGAACATAAGTAGGACGTAAAATCAACATCAATCGAAAAAATTTAAATCTTCACAACTTAAGAAAATTTCGATATCTACACAGTGACTGTCAAAATTATCCAACTAATAGATAATTTTATTGTGTGTATATTTTTAAAATTAGATAAGCTAGAATGATCTGGTTTCCGTCAAATTGCTGATTATAGTTTCCAGTACACTAATAAAAAATTCAAGGTTAATCCATTGATCTGTTTAGTTTTAATTAACAATACAACCGCGACATGCCATTTTTCATCCTTTCAAACTGATCCAATTACTTTTCTTTTTTGCAAACTATTGCGCGCAAGCTTGTTATAAGTTGAAATTTCCTGTGTAATATGTTATTGAATAGAACACATTCTGCTCTATATTAGGAGTACTTTTTATCGTAGTTTTTCTTTGAGTTACGGTCAAAAACCAATCTTTTTTTTGTAACCCAAAACAGAAATTGTCAAGAACATTGTGACAAAAGACAATATGTTTTTCATAGGATGCTTAGTTAATTTTATTATTTCCTATATCATTAGCAAAAGTGTTACAAACTACATGAGATATTCTTTTTGAATCGATACTTCATGTTAGAAAATAATGTTGGTTGTCTCATATATATATCAATTATAGGTAAATGTTTTCGTACGAAATCATTCGCGCATTCAAGGATATATCATAAATTGTTTTCACGGCGTGAATTTGTAGAGAGTATTTTTCTACATAAAACTCTTATATTTGAAATCAATACCGTTTATATCATTTAAG